CAGTGGACCCTGGTGATGGGCCTTTGAAGCTTAAGCTCTGAAAGACTGAGCATGGGAGGGTTGGTTAGGCGACACTGCCTGGCTCTCAGATGTGCTGGTTTTGCAAGTGCTCTTACTGATGCGAGAGCTGTTCTTGTGCCCACTGCCCTGACTGTGCTCCTCTACACAATTTCTGTACGAAAAAGTGTGATCCTCATGACGGGGAGAGTTGTTTGGTGGAGACTTATTGAAATGGAGAGGCGTACTGTTGATGGCAGTTGCGGGGCTACTGCTGCTGCCATGTTTCATGCCCCTGATAACACAATTCAACAAGCTGTGGAATCTATCAGGTGACCCCAGTACCACAAACAAACCAGTGTGGGGAAAGGATAATGACCTTTTCAGTGGTGCTGAAAAATGAGGAGTTCAAAGCTGAGAAGGCTATGCTACAGGGACTTTTAGGGAAACCTGATGAAGAATTAGTCACAGTAAGATAGAACCAAAAGAAAAAGGGTGGATTGTGAGAAGTAGATTACTGTGACTAACAAACTAGAACAGGTAAAGCTATGGATCACTTAGTGATTAATAAAGGTATTGTGATTAACGGACTAGAATGGGTAAAGCTATACAGATCACTTCGTGATTAATAAGAGTATTGTGACCAACACAAACTCATAGACTACAAAATGTAATTGGCAGACATGGCATTAAACTTTTGTACTTGGAATCCAAGGTACGGCTGCGTAATAAGCTAATGCATATTAGTGGTGCCTCCTGCTATGACTCAGAGGGTTATTAACATGAACATGGGACGTATGAGCAGGTGGGGGCAACATACCAAGGAGTAGTATGATGAAGGCGGACGGGAAGAATGTGAACTGCCAGTATCCCACCAATGGGAGAAAGGGGGCAGGGACTTTGCGTGTGAAGTAGGCAGTAAGAGGCTGTGTAAACTGCTCCCCAGTGCACTACCTTTGGGGTGAGTGCCCGGTCTGGCCAGAACGTATTAAACTGGTGCTGCTTGGTACTTTGCCTCCGGTATTGTCATTGCTTGGATTTCATTCCTTACAATACTTTCAGATACTTCTACATTAGTAGGTTTCAGGCATAAATAGGAGGATGTTATATTTCTACTTTAATCCATTAATTTTTTTGTTGTAGTTGGCATTACAGATGAAGAAAAGATGTGTCTCATATTGAAAACAGGATTCAAGGTGAGCCCAAGGTATAAATAGCTTACCCATAACAGATGTCAGTTTTTCAGATCTAATTTCAACCTGCAATAAGGAAGTCACTTTTTAAACTGTACAGGTCTACTTCTATATTAATACCTCTGGAGCCAAAGATGTGACAAGGAAATTATCTACAAAATAAGGCTCTGTAGAGGGCTACCTCTTTCCACCTTTTTATATTGTGCTCCTCTTAATAACTCAAAGTGGGGAAAGGAAAGAAACCAATGTAACACATTTTAGGTCAGGCCCAACCTATTTATGAGTAGAATGCATAAGTTAAAAATCATGGCCTGCATGATACTGGTGGTATGCCCATGATATCTTAACATCTGTGCATTTCACTGCATACTAAAGCATTTAAAGTGCTTGACAGCAACTGCTAAAAGTGATTAGAGTCTGCCTTAAAACTTTGAGAGCCAATGTAGTGTAGGGGTTAAGAGTATGGGTCCAGGATGCAGGCAATCTGGGTTCTAGTCCCTACTTAGCCATGGAGCCAACTAGTGATGCTGGGCCAGTCACAGACACTCAGCATAACCTACCTCACAGGGTTGTTGTGGGGATAAGACAGAGGGCAGGAGAAGAATTATGTAAGTAGAATTATGTATGTTGAATATAATTCTAATAAAGTATTATCAAAGCCAATAGTACTAGTTATAGACCAATAGTACTAGTTATTGGTCTTTCTATGTAAGCTACAAAGGAAATTTCAATCAACTTTCCACACACTATCTGAAGTATTGCACTTCTGTGTTTACATTCTGCTATGTTCCACCCATACTGTTGAGGGTGACATAGCTGCTCTAGGTGGGAAAGGGAATGGTCCCATTTTGCTGAGCAGCCATCTGAAACTCAACACACATTCACTATAACTTTAGTGAAGGGTGCCTTGCTTTGGCTTTGCTTGTCTATTTTATTGACCTTTTCATTGGTATGAAACTGCTATTTCTGCCTTATCTTTAATGGAAAAAATGCTATGGCATCTAATTGAAAAGTTGATTTAAAAATCCTTTTTACTAGCAACCATCAAACAGATGGTAAAATGGTGGTGACTGAAAAAAGGGTTAAAAAACTAGAATCAATTTATTGTAGTGCTATAGCATTAAGAATAATCACCAAAGTAATTTAGTTAAATAAAAGATAAACTAAAAATACATGTCATAACAGTAGTGAATGTGTGGTAAACTGTGTTAAATTCATCTGTCTGATATATTATTGCAGAGCATCCAGTTTGGACCAGAATACAATGACTTGGCTCACACAACACAACAATCCCCATGGGTAACTAGCTGTGGTGGGGTCTCATGTTATGTGAACCCAGACTAGGTGCTGCAGATGGGCTTGCTGTTTTCCAGCAAGCTACCCTGTGAACCAATGAGCTGTTACAGGTTCATGAGGAGTTCTTTCGTTAAACCAGGTGATCAATCTAACCATGGATTGCAGGAAGCAGTGAGGAAGGTGCTAAGATGCCTGGGATGAAAATGGGCAGGCAGTGAGAAAACAGCAGCAAAGAATGGAAAATGGTTCATGGTTACAGCAGGGAAAGGAGATAGGGAGGCTCTGGCTGCCAAGTCTAGCTGCCAAGAGTGGGGAACCAAAGGGGAAACAATCCATAGATAAATTGATCAACTCTCAGGAGCACTGTGGCTTCTCCAAAGTGAGTTAGTAGGAAGTGCAACCCACAGAATGTCTTTTGGAAGGAAATAATATGGAGTTCATACAGATTTGTTTCTTTCTTGTCCAGCAGATAGGGATCAAAGAAGTTTGATTATGTTTTACAGTGAGTAAATATTTGGCCTAATGTACCTCTAAGGAAATGACAGATTTTTTTCACTTGGAAATTGTTTCTAGTTTTTTTGATTCAAATATATTTTCTTTAATGTGAAGAAACCATATATTATGAGAATGAGAAAAACTTTTGCTTTCAGAGGGTAACTACACAAATAGAAATAAAATATTTCCAGTGCTTTTAAAAAACAAAATAGTTTTGTATTTAGTCTTATGTCAGCATCACTTTAAAATTACTCATTTCAAATATCAGAGGTGAGAATATGACTATTGCTATTGTTGGTGCATTTGAGTTCTGAAGGTGGAAGGGCAGAGAGGCAGGAAAATATATACAAAATATATTTATGGAGAGTAAGTAATGATTGTTGTAAAAGAAGATTTCTGGGGAACTAGGAGCAATAATGTAAAGCATGATTAAACAGTAAGAATCAATAGCATAGTTGATAAACATAAAAGGCAACACTAAATGCAGTTAACAAAAATGGGAATGCATTCAAGTTTTAGTCTGTAATCCTAAACATAACTATGAGTAAACTTCATTGAATTCAGCAGGAGGTATTGCTGAGTAAGCATGTATTGGATTCCTGCTATGAAAATTAAAAGGCCTTTACTTGTTGCCTCAAAGATACTGCGGTAGACACAGCACCACTAAAAAGGTCATGTCTTCCATTGGTACCTACTTTGTTCCAGGTCAGGGGGAATAAAAAAATTCTTTTTCTTTGATTTTTAAACATTTTGATTGGATTTTTATTTTAGATTGTTTTTATTTCTTGAAAACATCATAAATACTAAATTTCTAACTTAAAAATAATATAGGTATAACTAAATCTCATCAAATATTAAATCTACCAGTCAAAATTTTCACTTTAATCTTATGAAAATGACTATGAGAACTCTTAAGTGCTCTTGCTTCTTGAAAGTTCCACGATTTCACTTTCACTGACTAAAGTCACATGTGCAAAGGCACAATCCACAAAGGATTGTTTTTCTGTGATTATATTTGGTCAAGCAAGGCAGAAGATTTAGCTAAGATACAGGGTAGATAAAAATAAATGCTTAAAATAACTTTGAAAAAAGGCAGTAAAATTGATTTTTTTTTTCATCCCAGTAACCGGGAAGCAACCTTGCACTGACTTATTAGTCATTAACATTTCATTATTGCATGCTGCATTATTTTTTGTGAGGGTAAGGGTTGACCAAGAGAAAGTGAACCAGAAAGGAACAACTTGGAAACTGTCCACTGTTTTCATACTCATCCTGTAATCCTGTACCCATTTATATGTAAGTAATCCCTTACATGCTGACAATGTTAATTTCTAGGAAAGAATTATATAATTTAAAAGGATGTCTGCATCAGTATTTAAAATGTGTTCCAGTATAAGTTTCAGGCATAAAAATAACCTCATTCAAAAAAAAGCCAGTTATTGAACATTGCCAAAACATGTATTAAAATAAAAATGATAGTCGTATAACACCTCCATCAATTAGCTAACCTAGTCAAATCCTTATCAAAGAGATGATGTGCTGTTCATAGCCACAAAATAGGAGCTTTTGCTGAATGAGATATAACCTGAAATTCATAACCTTTCAGATGCAGATGCTGAAGTAGTAAACCCTTGATTAAGCAAAATGGGATGGTCCAGTTTCCTGTTTCATTTGTTCTTAAGACCTGATGTATCTATCATATTTGTTCCCTAGTAATGTCAACATAAAAGGGACTGTGGGTGGCGCAGTGGTTTAAACTGCTGAGCTGCTGGGCTTGTTGATTGAAAGGTTGACAGTTTGAATCTGCAGGATGGGGTGAGCTTCCATGCTTTGTCCCAGCTCCTGCCAACCTTGCAGTTCGAAAGCATATAAATGCAAGTAGATAAAAAGGTACCCCTTCAGTGGGAAGGTAACAGCATTCCGTGCACCTCGGTGTTTAGTCATGCTGGCCACATGACTATGGAAACTGTCTGCGAACAAACGCTGGCTCCCTTGGCTAGGAAATGGAGATGAGCACTGCCCCAAGAGTCAGACATGACTGGACTTTAATGTCATGGGGAAACCTTTACCTTTAATGTCAATATGAATCAATATACCCGATCAACTTCTATAAGTGCATTCAGTAGCAAAGGAAATTGGGTATTGTGTTTTAATCTGTTTGTAAACCTCTATTAAAGGGGCAATCCTCAGGAACAACACCTGAAAGGCCAGAGAATATATCTGATCCCAAGATTCCAGATACAGTGCTCTGACTTCAAAGCTCTACTTCTTCACAACTGGTATAGAAAGAACCACACTGGCTGCTCTTTGAAATTGGGAAAGCAACTTCAGGGGGCGTGCAGGGGGAGAAAATGGAGAAGCCAGGATATAAACTATCCTGATGCTTTTCTATCCTCCTTTCACTCCATCTTGAAACATTCCAGCTGGGTGGGAAAAATGTAGGATGGGACCTCAGAAAGTGGAGATTACCCTCACTGCTCCTCCCTTTCTGAACTGGATAACTATAAGTTTCCAGGTTTGCCATGGGATTGTATTATAAGTACTTAATATGCTTACAAGTTATATATACTTAATATAACTTGTAAGCATATTAAGTACTTACAATACAAGAAGCATATATAAAAATATATAAGGGGAAATTGAAGGAGAGAGAGATGGAGAGAGAAAGAAAAATTGGAATGAAATAAAACATGTCCAAACATCCAGAATCTGATCTACTTAAACTGTGTAAGTATTAGGTAACAGCCAAGGGCTGACTAACTTAAGACTAAATTCAATTTGTTAAGTATCAACAGCACAAGTAAAGAAACTGTATGGATGCCAGTGAGAAATGACTCTACTGCTTCAGGAGATCAACATTTCAATCAGGAGAAATTTAGTTGATCTTGATAGGTAAGAAAAAAAATGCTGCATAATGGATATGATAGTTTATTAAGTTGAAAATTTGTTTGCACTGTCTTCTCTAGTCTGAAACCTACCTGTTGCCATCCAGATGAAGCATGATCTTATTGCTGGCAGAGGCCCACCAAAGCATCCCTCTCTGCCTAGCTGTATGGAGCAACCCTTTTACCCAAAGTGGATAAAAACTGAACAACAGGCTCCTCTATGGATCCTTGTGTGAAACCAGGGACATGATAGGCTCAATCAGTATCACACTGACAGTGTGGTGCTAGTGCAATAATCCAAGCCATATTTATAAACACTACCAAAAGGGGCTTTGCAGTCTGTGAAAACCATTCCCTAAGTCCAAGGACACACAAATTAGTTTTCCTAGAAAAGTTTCCAGAGGAGAAACATGAAAAGATGTTACATTGTGAGAATCTGCCATTGCATTTCATGATCTCTAACCTGATCTTCCAACATACTAACTCTGGATTCCAGCAGTTTAAGGTGAACATCAATAGAATTGACATGAAGAGTTTTAATAGAATCCTGAATCAGCTGCAACTGATCAAGCTGCTTAGCCTACTGAAACAAGTGTAATTACATGTTTTTCATCAGGGGAACATCATCCCCTTCAGGCTCCACTTTAGGGGCTTTTTAGCTGGAACAATCTGTGAAGGAGTTGGTGAAATTGCTATGCCTATCTTCATTTTCAGTGTAGCCATGATCAAAATTTCATCCAAAGCACAGCAAGCAGATAAATTTAAAAAAAAAACCTAGAGAAGGCTAAAGCAAAATATCTGGGTAACACAAAGAAATAGATTTTAAAAGCCAAAAATCAAGAGAACATCTTAACTGGAAGTCCTCCTCTTCTGGTGTTTGACAAAGCAAGACCAACATTCCTATTACTGCCCCCTACTGGTGACAAAAAAACCCTTAATTTACAAAACCCCAACTAAATTACAAGCCTTTGAAAAGTTCCAAAAACCAGACTAGAAAGCAAAAGAGCACCATTGCACAAGAGCTTTCAAATCACTAGAAGAATTCCCCTGGAATTCCCCTGGTAGCAAGGAAATACAAAGGAGGAATCTGCTCTTCTACATACTGCAGATAATACCAAATTAAATTATCAGTTGTCTTTGTACCCCACCCATCTCACATAGGGCTGAATCAACCTGGCCAGTCCCAAAAAGGTTGCAGCAAGCAGTACAATGGCCTGACAACACCATTAATAAACAAACCTGTTGCACTCCACTTGGCTGATTAAAAATTGAAAAATCACTGAAGAGAGGACAAAAAGGAGAAGAAAAAAACTGCTGACCAGTGCCACCCAATTATCACTGAGACTGCCACTCCTTGCTCATTCTCCTCTAGTTGAAAAAGAAACTTCCCTGAGAGACCAAAATAAATAAATAAATGCATTCCAGCAACAGAATGTTGTAAAGCATTCTTCACAGATAAATCAGCAGACTCATTACCCACTAAACCAACATGAGCAAGTACCCAACAAAAACACAACCAAATTCTCATAATATGTTCAGAGTTCATAGACCAGAATTCATTGACTAGCACATTCTTACAAGTTACTCTACCAACTTGAAGAACCTGCAAAAGAATCCAACAGAATCAAAACATTGTCTTATGTCCCTAACCCACCTGAGCACTATTAAAATGCCCATGAGCTCTGCTGTCATAATCAATGCCCCATTAGGAAAGCTGGATTTGTCTAATAGTGAATTGGATTCCAAAACTAGGGATAAAATAGGCAGGAGTCACACTACTGTTAAAGACATTTTTAGAATCATCAGTATACCCCAATGAGACAAGGTATATTCTGATGCCAAATTTCACATACCTAATACCAGGGGTCCTCAAACTTTTTCAACGGGGGCCAGTTGACAGGTGCCAGTGGTGGGCGCGGGCCGCCAAGGTGGTGCCGGGGGGGGGGCACAGGCCAGTGGGGGGGGGCATGCACAAAAGCACATGCATGCACACGCAAGGGGAGGCGGGGACAGGGGGGCACACATGGGGTGAGGTGCTGGCTTGCTCATGAGGAGATCGTTTTCTCCAAGCAAGTCCAAAATGACCTCCCCGCGAGCAAGCCACGCACACACATGGCAAGTACAAAACCTGTGGGGCGGGGGGGCGGGTGGGTTAAATGGGCATGGTGGGCTGGATTTGGTCCGCAGGCCTTAGTTTGAGGGCCCATGCCTAAGACCAATGTGACCCTAACTTATTCATATCCATTGCAGGATGAAGGCAGAGCCGACTGTAACAATCATAAACAGTCTTTCTAGGAATACTATTACCAGCTGCATTGTACTTCAACAAACTCAGACTGCATAAGGAATTTGATGCTTTATCTTCTCAGGTGCTCTAGATTCCCAACTGGAAGTCTTCAGTGTTAAACTTGATTTGAATTGCTGCATTAAATCAAATTGATTTAAATTGCTGAATTAAATTGCCTTAATTTAAACCAACCCACCTTGCTCTAAAAGGTGAGAGAATGTGGAGGAAGTTTTCTTAGGGAGACCTTTGTATACAAGCAGTTTGACACATGCTTGGAATGAGTAAGTTGAAAGGCCACAGAGATGTGGTACTACAGTACTTCTCACTGTTTCCTTGACCCTTTCCTCTCTGTTCCCTCCCCCCTTTTTTTTCTTAAAGAAAGTGCAATAAGATTTGAATTTCTCCAGGTTTTTAGTGACTGTTTCTTCCCAGCATGATCAGGAGTAATCTGTTTTCTGTAGTAGTGCAGTGACATTAGAATGTCCTTCTTTAGCATGTCATAAACTGGCTTTATTTAGTCTTTTATTATGTAGGGCTAGTCTTATTGGGCCAATTATAATGTGCAACATCTTTTACTTTTGTTGAAACTAGGTTCTTGTTTTATTTTTAGTCTTTAGTATTTGTTCCTTGTTGTAGCTTTTAGAAATTAGATCTTGCACATGTAGTTTATTGATTATCTTGTGTTTTTTATGATTAGGCCATATGCTACTTAGGGTACTGTTAGTAAAAACAAGATATACGTACATATTGTTACTGTGTGCTTCACTGGTGGGAGCTGTAGTGCTCGTAAGTCCTACTATTTCAATGCCATGTGGAAAAGTGGTAGGTTAAAATCACTTCACATTTTGAGAAGTTGTCCGTTACTATGCCAAAGAGAAGGTGTGATGGTCTATGATGGTCGTACAGACATCTTCTAGAAAAATGGCTTCCAGCATGAAATGGAGATTATGGAATCCCCATGTGAGGATCTTGCTACTGCAGAAGCACACAGATGAACATAATGATGGACTCATTTGAGCAACTGTAGTTGAAATATACAGAGCATTCTCCTAAAAGAGAGAGAGTCTGGTACATTGTTAAATGCCATCTGCAGTTTTCTTTTTGGTATAATATGGACAAGTTTGCTGCATTAAATAGGACACACTGAATTGTGCCTTTGTGTATACTCCGTTAAAAATACTTAAGACTGCCTGACTTATAGAAGAGAAAGTAACAGCTACAGTGGCATCTGCAAGTGCAAGTAGTATCACTGAAAGGAGCACACTGTATTTGTGTATCATTTATGAGGCAAATGCGACTAAGGACAGAATGGGTCTTTTGACAAATACTGTATGACAATTGCAGATCTGTTTGAAAGACAGGATCCTTTATTATTCATCTAAGTAATCAGGGTGTTTAGTCATCTGCAGAGGGAACTTCTACAGCAACTCTACACACACAATCACATCATAACAAATAAGCACATTTATTACCCTTCGGTATAATAGCCATTGCATATGTTGAATGGGATACTGCAGTGATCCGGTTACTTTAAGCCAAAAAGAAATACAGGGCTTTCATTTATAAGAATTAAATGTAACAACTTCATTTTGGAATTGCAAACTCTCTAGCACAAGGAAGATAGTGGTTAAATTGTATCACAGACAAAATAAGAAAATAGAAGTTCTGTGTACCACACCTCTGCTTAATCTCTAAAGTGGGAGATGCAAAGGCCTCTGTTTGCCTGAAAATCATTCTGTTAAACTTGGTATCCTTTCTCTTAAATGCTGGATGTGTGTAGGCTGGGCTTGTCTGTAGCGGGAGAAATCCAGTCTTCATACAAAGAAGCCCTCTTTATTCTTTGCTGTGCTAGCTGGTGCCTGCCCAATTTTGATGAACACATATTTCCACTTTTGCCAGTTTTGAAAGGGGAATGACACTGCTGCCAGTTTACTTGTGCTTGGGTAGAGGAAAGATAATACATCCTATGGACTGACGTCTGATTCGGGCTGAAACCAGGGAACAAAAATGAAAACTACTTGTTGGGTCACACAACTTTACACCTGATGGATTATGGACTTCCTGCTACCTCAGGTCCAAAGTATTTATTCTTTTAAAGTGTGCTTTGAGGGGTGCCTACCCTGGCCACTGTTTGGGAAAAGAAACAGCCCTGATCCAGAATGTGAACAGAATCAAAGCACTGGGTGGGTTCATACAACACCTCAAGCTACACTGCAGGACAAACTATACAGATAATCAGGCACACTGTGGCTCTGAAGCAATACCTTCCCTGTTTAGTCCTTCCACAACATCCAGTTTTCTCCCTTTCCTGCTGCTGCTTGAACATGGGTTTGTTTGTTTGTGGCGGGGGGATGGATGGACAGGGCAACCTACTCATGGTTAGGCTGAAAGGATGGGGAGTGCCCAATGTCATGCCCAGATGAAAGGGCTGGCTATTGCAGCAGATAGCACCAGGAGTCTTTTTCTGGTGGTCTGCTGGCCCATAATAGATGATGGGACATGGTCAGGTGTTGCCAGTCCTGGCAGAGAGAGGACAACCTCTTTCTGCTGGGATTGGCAGCCTGACTGGCAGAGAGGGGTTGATCATGAATGGTCACCCCACTAGGTGAGGAGGGGACACCATGCAAAGCTCAGCTTACTCCATACCATCAAGGTTGCAATCTCTTTTGGCTAGAGGTTATAGTAGCACCAGATGGGGAGCTGAGCCATGTTCTGCTCAGCCTACTTCAGAGAAGGCTAAGCAGAGGAATGCGCACCCAGTAAGTACCAGTTCTTTTGGCTGGTATCCACAGCAGCATGAGGTACTTCATGGCAGTTGTCCTTGGTTTTTACCCAGATCCACCTGACTAGAGAGTCAACCTTTTTTTGCCATTTTGCTAAGCAGTGATGTAGTGGTTTGTTGTCAGGATCAGATCCTGATTCACCCTGGAAGTGCCTACAGAACCAGGAACACACCTGTAAGTATTTAATTTAATACAAACATTTATATCCCATCCTTCTGACAAGCACTCAGGATGGCTTACACAATGTAAAATTGCAATATTAAAACCACAGTTATTAAAACAATATAAAGCAGCACAATATAAAAAATAAACATCATAAACTAAGAGAAAAGAAAAGGGAGGAAAAGAGTGGAAAATGCAACTGTGAGGAAGGGGGAAAAATCTTAAAACATCTAAAATCCTTGATTATTAAAATGATGGTTAAATAAAAAGGCCTTTACCTGATGCAGGAATGAGTATAACGGCACCAGGCAGACCTCTCTGGGGAGTGCATTCCATACACGGCACCACTGTGAAGAAGACACCCTCCATACTTTCTTCGGGGGGGGGGGGGTTCCTGGAGCAAGGCCTCCCCTGCCGATCTTAAGGGGCATGAGGGCATATAGGGAAAGAATGGATCCTTCAGGTATTCTGGACCTAAGCCATTTAGGGCTTTATAAGTTAATACCAGCTCCTTAAATTGGGCCTGGACTTCAATTGGGAGCCAGTGTATCTGCTAAAGAACCGATGTTATATGAGAATAATGGCCAGCCCCCATCAGCAACCTGGCAGCTCTATTTTGTTCCAATTGAAGTATCTGGACTGTTTTCAAGGGCAGCCCCATGAAGAGTGCATTACAGTAATTTAACCTTGTAGGGAAGATGTGTGTGGCAATTATGCACTGCAGCTGGAAGAGCTGCATAGAAAGCGTTACTGAAATGCTACTCTTTATTAGAGCAACAGGAACTGGAGTGGGTCTGGGTCCTATCATTCCTTGATTTCTATCCTTGCTTTGAACCAAATTCCTTCTCCAAGTCCTTGTGACTGCCCACCCAGCTTCAGCAGGTTTCTGCTTTCATCCCTGCCTCCAGCCTGACCTAGTCTTGCTAGGTACCTGTACCCTGGTCTTCCTAACCTCTCCTTGCTTCTGTATGTATCTGTTTCCTTGGCATGTGATGTTTGTCTTGTTCTTCGACCATCTGTACCCTATTGCCTGGCCAGCTTCTGACCTTGGACTGTTTGAAGATGTGTCTCTTGGTTGTGGTCCTCTAAACCTGGTATGAGCTTCCACCCTGAACCTGCACCTGGTCCTGGTGTCCAGACTGTAGCTGCTGGCTGCCCATGTCCCAGGCCTTCCTTAGTCAATTCTGAGTCATGTTGTCTAGGTACTGATGACTTGGCAAACTACTATGGGGCATAAACCCCCCACAAAAGGCCCTAACTTGTCAGGGCGGTTTATTAGTTTACCTTAAACCATCATGACAAAACTAACCTGTGTTCAGACAGCATGCAAAAACACTTTGGTTTTGAAGCCAAGATAGTTTAGTGTGTTGTACAAACTCAGTTGCCATGCCAATATTCTGCTGAAAATCACACTATCCCTGGCAGCAATTTGCTACCAAAGGTGCTGTTTGCAGTAAGCAGAACACTTTGAGGAAATAGCAGTCTAGAGGTGGTGATTTTCAGCAGAAAAAAGAGCACAAATGTCCACTCCTGTTAGGAGTGCATTTTGAAACAGGTCCCACAGCTGTTTTTTCTTAGTTTTTGACCTTTTCAAAAAACAAAACAAAATGAAAAAAAAAAACCCCCCAAAAAACCAACCCTAATGAATAGTGTTTTATGTAGTTGATTCCTTAGCATAGCAGCAATATACAAACATAAGCAATTGACAGCTCCCCAGTGTTACAATTCTATAAAATTACCTCATTGGTTTATTTATTCATTGCGTCATTTATAGATTGCTTTTCAGGTTTACCTCTTCCAAGCCTGCTCATATAGTTTCATTACGTTCGTCATAGACCTTTGAAACCTCAAACTACATTTTAAAGAATTCTTACTACAGAGCACAAGCTGTCCTGCAAACATAATTCAAAATACACTCATATGATTGTATTGTTAGAATGTTTGAGTAAAGATAAGGGTTTTCTTTTCTTTTTTTAAACATATGTATTGTGTGTGAAAATGGGCAACATAATAAAAATGATGTCATTATACATTATTGATCATATTTAGAAAATCTGAATTTTGAAGTACAATTCAATCCCAAGGGTAGTTTATTTCCACTGCAACTTTAATTATATAATTAAGCATTGCTTCCTCTCTTCCTGTAGCTGCAAAAGAGCAATCTGCAGAAAATTGCTTTCAGCTGTATAATATGAAAATATATGTAGTAGCAATGTTAGCTCTTACTACAGCTGTTCAAAAGTGCTCTTTCATAACAATAACATAATGACAGCATACAGTTTGATACAAGAAACAAATGTTAGTTCAGGCCCAGGTGATTTCAAGGGGAAAAATCCACTCCAATTGAAAGCATTTTAATGTGATGATTTTTTTATTGGCTTTTTGTTAACTCAGCATGGCTCCTGTGTGCAAAGTTGTTTATTGTTTTTATATGGATCTTGGATATGTGGAAAGTTGCATAATAGATCACCATAGCATGTTAAAGTTGTGCAAGAACAATCGAGAGAGAAGGAAAATGCCTGCAAATTCATCAGAGATCACTGAAGAGCACCACAGCCCTACAGCTGCTACATGCATCTGGACAGCCACGGGATTTTTCAGATTCCCAAATACAAGTTTGGAAAAATCACTCCAACCTTGTAGTAGGGGATCCATATTGGTATCTCCCTGCTTGACTGAAAGCCAGCCCAGAAAGAACCACACCAGCTACTTCTCCAAGGTTGTAAGAGCAATCTCAGCAATGGACTTTTGGGAGCATTCCAAGGGGAAGGGAGGGGAGGAAGTGGGCTCTGCCAGGATAGGAAGTACCTTGGCAGTGCCTCAACCTCCTGCTGCTGTTGAGGCAATGCACTTAGATGGTTGAGACCAGCCATTTGACTGCTTTGCAGGGCTGAAGGAGCATGGGGGAGACCTTCACCTCTGCCTTCCACAGGATTCCCATTACCCTCTTGAGTTTGTGGAAAGTGAAGCAGGGTGTTATTCAGGTAGGGAGGGAAGCCATACTTGTTGCAATTAGCTGTATCTGATGGTATTAAGTAGTAAAAGTGAATGAAATTGATATTCCTAATGTTTTAACACATGCAGTTTTTAAAGGCATTTCAGCAATGAAAGTGAAATTGCTAGCTGTATATATGCTTGCCACATGACTGGATGTGTATTGACTGGATGCTTCACATCACGCATCAGTTAAGTTACACATGAAA